CATTCATTCATCCGTCCATCCATCCATTCATTCATCCATCCATCCATCCATCCATTCATTCATTCATTCATTTGTTCATTCATTCATTAAATCATTCGTCCCATTCATTCATTTGTCTGTCTTTGCATCCATCCATCTGTCCCATTCATTTATTCTTTCATATTTTAGTTCTTTATTCAACGGTTGTAATGTTTTACACTTGATACAGATGTTTGCAGCAGGTCTTAGCAGCATGTTCGAAATAATGGACATTAATGAAGATTGCTATGGATTAGGTTACATCAGTAAGCTGGTAGCCAGCGAACTGGCAAATATGCCATCAGCTAGAGGAAGAAGAAAGGTAAAGTGATGAAGATGACGATACATGATGACGATGTATGATGATGATAATGATGATGATGGAGGTGGTGGTGGTGATGATGATGATGGTGATGATGATGATGATGATGAAGGAGGTGGTGGTGATGATGATGTTGATGATGATGATGGTGATGATGATGGAGGTGTTGGTGGTGATGATGATGTTGATGATGATGATGATAATGGTGATGATGATGGAGGTGTTGGTGGTGATGATGATGATGGTGATGATGATGGTGGTGGTGGTGATGATGATGATGATGATGGTGATGATGATGGAGGTGGTGGTGGTGATGATGATGGTGATGATGATGATGATAATGGTGGTGGTGTTGGTGGTGATGATGATGATGATGGTGATGATGATGGTGATGATGATGGAGGTGGTGGTGGTGATGGTGATGATGATGGTGATGATGGTTTATTATTATTCCACTAGGTGGCTCTTTCTTGACAATGATTAATCCAATCTTATAATCTTATATATTTAATAATATAAGAAATATATATATATATATAATTACAATCGTTCTACTCTAACCATGAACACTCAAGTTTTTCATTTTATTTTTCATTTGTGTAAAAATAATTTTATTTTTTCTTTCTCTTTCTTCATTACATCTACTTGAATAGCTTTTATAGACCTTCAGTACATGTAACTTGAATTCTATTGTTTTCAATTCGTAATCTGATTGGTTGACAAACTCGAGTTTTCAAGGTTAGAGTAGAATGACAGTAAGAGTCTTATTATTCACTGTACTTTCATTGTCATAGTTAGAATGTCTTTTGGGAAATCAAGGGTATAGTAGGGGTAATACACTCACCTCTGGGCTGGGTCTTGGGTTACCGTACCACTGTTACCATACCACTGTTACCGTACCACTCGAAACTCTGTCACACCATATGACAGCAATTGCATTCACCTTTGAATCATAGTACTGCAAGGGTGAATTGCGCCACAAAAGTTATTTGTCTGCAACCACCTTTGCGCTTTGGTTAATGTGCAATCACAGTACCATCAGGGCTTGAAATAGAAAACTTTTTTAGCCTGCCATAGTAAAGGAGCATGGTAAAAGGAGGTCATTCCAGTAAATTTTGCATGTCATTTTATTATTCATTCGGCAGCACATCGTTATTTTCGCCAGCCAAACCTGAAATTTGGCCTGCCATTTGGCCATTTTCAGGCCGCTGTTTCAATCCCTGACCATAAACTCTTTCTTGATTTTAAGGTTTGAGGGCAACAGACATATATGGTAATTAATAAGTAATATATATTAATTAATTATTCATGAGCCTAATTGTGTAATTAAATATTAAATATTGAATAAATAAAATAATTTCTTACAGACAGCAAGTAGACGTGCATCTCTAGTTTTGATTGACAGGACACTAGATCTGGTGGGGCCCTGTGTACACACTGGTGATACTCTTGCGGACAAAATCATAAACCTGTTACCTAGGTTACCATATCATGAGGTGGATGTTGCCGTGGATATGGCTAGACTATGTGCAAGTGGAAGGTAATTTTCTTATTCTTTAAGGGTATGAAAAGTGGCATTGATAGGGGTAGTATACTTGACTCTCAACTCTGAGGTCTCGGGTTTGATTCCTGGACTTGGCATCACATGTGAGTAGAGTTTGTTGGGTCTTTCTCTTTATACAACCATTTTTCTCTGGGTAATCCAGTTTTCCTCGCTCAACCTACTATAAATGACTTAGATCAGTCCAGAGGTTGTTTCGAGGTTCACTCTGTGAGTTAGCCATGCCCTGACTTAGATCAGCCCAGAGGTGGTTTCAGGGTTCAATCTGTGAGTTAGCCATGCCCTGACTTAGATCAGCCCAGAGGTTGTTTTAGGGTTCAATCTGTGAGTTAGCCGTTCCCTGACTTAATAGATCATCCAAGAGGCTACAAGTAACCATGTCATCCCAAGTAGACAATTTAGATATGATTATATTATGTTGATAGTATCTAATCTTTTATTAATAATAAATGCTTCCTATTAAACCAGTGTAACACCAGATACAGTAGTTCCTGGATCGTTAGCCCACGCCAATGACCCAGTGGCGCAGGTTCTATTGAACTCTCTCTTTACTAAAAGACAAAAGGTACTTTTAAATGACTGATCATCAATTATGTTTTTGATATATGAATACCACTGTGAATCCATCACATAGCATGTTATTTAGGTCTTTCCTTCTTATTCTTTATTGTTCTTATTATTCATTCAATTGCCCTATTTCACTATGACGTCACATCAAAACAATCTATTGTTTAAACACAAAGGATCATGGTCGTCGGAGGGGGTCAAATCAACGCAAATTCACCAAAAATCGTTCTAAAACCTGTATCAATCCACTAAGAGAAGTAGAATAGCCAGCAAACGCTCAGAATATTTTTAGTACATATTAACACATATTATATCCGAAAACCAGGCCATTTTAGATTAAACTGATTCGCTAGGAGCAAGTTTTGTTGAATTTTCTATTGGATTTGGCGATTCTATCCCACACGTAAACAAGCAGTGACGTCATAGTGAAATAGGGCAATTCCAACCAGCTGATCTGGAGAAACTTTTTGCCAATCAGAATCGAAAAAATTTTCAAAACTGAGATGAAATAATGAAAAACAGGAACTGTGTAGCGTAATTCTGTTGTTTTACTTTATTTTATCAAGGAGGGCTTGAAAGATATCTCACGCCACCTGATTGATGCCGTCAGTAAGGAATCCTTGCCCTTGGAAACCAAGGGATTACCAAGTAAAGTTACTCCAGAACATCTACAAACTCTTGCAGAACAGTTCAGGTGACTATGAAAAATGTGAAAGAACAAAAAAAATATCCATTCCCCACCCACAGAGGTAATTAGAAATTCTGGAGGGGAGGGGGTCAGAGAGAATTGTTAGGAGAAGCACGACGCATAGTGGAGTGCTTTTTGACACTTCTCGGGTGTTCTGCCAATCCCCAAGTGATTTATAACTCCACACAGCACAGTAAGCAGGTTTTTTATTTCTTTTATAAAATGCAAAGGGCGGGTGCGTGCTGTGTGCTCTCATAAAGCACACGCTCCCAACCAATCAGATTGCAAGATTTATAACAGTTACTTTATAACACGTAAATCAATTCTTCAGAGGTCAACCAAAGGCATTCCATAAGCACAGTGCCCTACTCCAGATTACAATGGCAACCATAAATGCGCTTCAGCATAAAGATTCTAAAAGTTTGCAGAAATTACAGGCCATTGAAAAGGTATTTCAATCTCTTGTTTTTTGAAGCAGCATACAAACCATTTACTGGGAGGTTCAATCGTGCAACTTACAATTATGAGTGAATAATTATGATTAGAAGATTAATGTTATGCCTTCAAATTGGGATAGGGTGTTGAACCGGGAGACAATCCCCTACTCTTATACAAATAATTCAACAGGTTCTTTTATGTCCCCCATTTTACTGCAGGTTAGGAAGGGTTGGGAGACAGGGCCTATGGTTTAAAGTCCTTATCCAAGAAGACTTGAAGGTCTAACCATTTGCAGATATAATTACAAAGGCAGCACCTTCTCCTCAGTTATTTTAAGGCCCTGAGTGTTGGTCAGACCGAGGCTTGAACTACAACCCCCCACACTCCTGTACTAAATCCTACTTATTAATGATTCTTTTCTAGATTCTTCTTTCAAGTGCACTGACAGAGGATAGTCATAATGTTATCCAAGAGATACTCGCTCTCTTAGAAACTCCCAAAGAAGATAAGTACGTTTATTATTATGCAGTGTGCAAATACATTTAGTTATATTGTGCCTAGCTGTTTGATTGCCTGAGAACATTAGCCAATACCATGTTAACATGACACCAAACAAAAAATAAGTAATAATATAGATCTAACATGTCCTTCTCCCGTAAGGCCTCAGTAGCCRAGCAGTTGAGATCTCGTCTAGCAAACGAGAGGTCAGTGGTTCAAGTTCCGTGAGAACCAAACTGAGGCAAATTTTTTAATCTGCTTATACACTCGATGTAGCATACACTTTACATATAGATCTTGACCGAGTGACAAAAACGCATTTTATAAAAAAATAAGTGTTTCCTGTTGCGCGACTGACCCTAACTCTCTTGCCAATTTTTGCCGACCCTAACATTTTTCATTCCCAAATGCGCCACAGGGTTCCCAGTAAGCTCATTTCCACTGTTGTATCAGTAAAAAAATCCGACCTACCGACCCCAGTTATTTTTCTCATGCAACAGGAAACACACTTATTTTTTCGTTTGGCCTGATGATTAAATGTCTTGATAAACTGTAGATAATACATTTATCATGTAAAGGTTTTTCAAACTCAAGACAGTATTGTGTAGTTCCAAAAAAATATCCATACCCCACCCATGAGGGGAATTAGAAATTCTGTAGGGGATGGGGGTCAGAGAAAGGACAAAATTACACAGTTTGTATGGAAGAAAATTTACAAATTCCCTCCATGATGGGGTATGGATATTTTCTGAAACTACACATTTTGCTTTTTTTAGAAATCAGAATTCAATCTTCATTCTTAGTTTACGAAGTGTGTGATAGAACAATTATATTTAACGTCACCTTCTTTTCCAGTTCTTACAGTCTAGAAGATATCATGTTACTTTTAACATTTGTGTTTTCACTGATGGGAGATGAATTTTATGAATCACCTGCAGAAATAGAAAAACTAAAGGTAAGGAAAATGCTTGTGGGGTTATAACTGTTAGACCTGGTTATAAACCTGTATTTATGTTTTCCCATTTCAGACCATGTGCCCTCATTCCCTAGAGTATCATTTCTTTGTTTAAGGGTTGCACACAAGAAGACACATAAATATATGGATATAACTCAAGCAGACAATCTATTCTCTGTTCTCTATTCTCTATTCTCTGTTCTCTGTTCTCTGTTCTCTGTTCTCTGTTCTCTTTTCTATCATTTATATTTTCCCATTCCTGACCATGTGTTATTCCCAAGACTATCATTTCTTTGTTTAACAGTTGCACATGAGAAGACAC